AGAGAGAGAGAGAGAGAGAGAGAGAGAGAGAGAGAGAGAGAGAGAGAGGAGGAGGAGGAGGAGGAGGAGGAGGAAGAGCATGAGGAGAAGGAAGGGAATGAGAAGAATGATATGAGGAAGAGGAAGATAACATTGATCAGAAGAGGGAGAGGAGGGAAGACAAGCGTGAAGAGCAGAAAGAGCGTGAAGCGAATGGGGAGTGTGATCCGTGCAGGGCCATTCTGCTGTCCTCTGTGTTCGTCCAGCTCAAAAGGAGGAGGGCAAAAAAAGACCCAGTCCAATTAACTGACAAACGGGTGCGTACAGAGGAGGGGGCTGAAATAAAGACCATCGATAGAACTCAAACGGAGGGGAAAAACAAGGTGTGTGCATGCGCGTGCGCCTGTGTGTGTGGGGTGTGTGTGTGTGTGTGTGTGTGTGTGTGTGTGTGTGTGTGTGTGTGTGTGTGTGTAGCATGTGTGTGCCACATGAGTTTCGCACGAGCACGACATGTCATACTCGTGCTACTCCGACCAAAAGCGCCGGCACACTGTGAGCAAAAAAGCAAGACGCGGGAGGCGATCTTTCAACGCGGCGGGGTAAAACCACTCGTGTGTCCATTTGTGGTGAGGGTAATTATTTGAAGGGCTGTAAAGTCGAAAGCAGCCAAATATGCGAAGGCAGTAAGACAAAATGAGGGGAGTGGGTGGCGCCTCCTCTTTTTCAGACAGACCAGAACACACGCAATAACACCCCACAAACAAATGGAGGGAAGGGGGGAAGGCAAAGGACAGGGAACCCACACCATAGCATGACAAACCACAACACGACACACGAGAGGAGGAACAAACAGCGAGGCAGCAAATAGGGTGAAACGCATGGGGGAGGCACATGAACTTAGAGGCATGAGAGGAGGCACAAGCAGTGAGGCAGCACATAGGCTGAAACATATGGGGGAGGCGGGAGGGCATAAGTACAAGTATCGAAAAACAGCAAAGCGGCCAGAAGAATAGAAAACAGCAAAGGACAGGCTGGAGGGTAGAGGGGAGGAGGGTGGGCAAACAAACAGCACAAGGCAAGAAACAAAGAACGAAAAAAATAAAAATAAAAACTGATGATGATAGATTGTTTCGTCGGAGTTGCACCGACTCATCAGGAGGCTGAACCCTCGACAATCTCGGAATCCCCTTATTTGATGGTTTGGGTCATGAACCCTTTGACCCATGTTGAAGGCAGACTGTCCCCACGCGGGACATAGCAGCGGGCAGCAACCCTATGGAGCACCAGGCAACACAGTAGAGGCAGCCCAACCGCTTATCACCAAAGACGACTGCAAGGAACGACAGGGCAAGCGGACAAGCAGCTCGGCAACCGTGCGGTGAAGCGCAAGGCAACATCAGCAAGGCGACAACACTACAAAGCACACAAGCAAGTAAAGGACACGGAAGGCCAACAGGGCAAGCAGACGAGCAGCTCGGCCACCGTGCAGTGAAGCACAAGGCACCACCAACAAGGCAACCAAACTACAAGGCATGCACGCAAAGGACACTGAAGGCCGACAGAGCACACGGACAAGCAGCTCAGCAACCGTGCAGCGAAGCGCGAGGCACCGCCACAAGGCACGCGAGCAAAAGACACGGGAGGCACAACCCGCGGGTAGGCGGCAAGGCAGCAGAGCAGCGAGGACGACCTGCAAAGCAAGCGGCACGGGCAGCAAGACCGCGGCAGAGCGCAGACAAGACAGTCTACACATCCAACACGGAGCAAAACAGCACATGACCTACTCACGTCACGATAGAACCCCGCAGACTGTTGGTTCCCACCACCCGTTGAGCCAGGGGGACACTCCGACGACCATCCATCATCACCTACAGGCAACACAGACATCCCGAACCGAGCGGCCCCCATAAGAGTGCAGTAGGCACTCCAAACGAGGAACCACCGACTGTTTGGCACTACTTAAGGGTGCTCAGTTGGGCACACAAAACATACTTAGAAAAAGTCAGGGGGAGGACAGACAACAGAAGAAAGGCCAACAGACATAAAACTGTTTTTTTTTTTTTTT